GCACAGGAAATGGCAAGAAACATATATTCAAGAGAATTTTGGCCTGTAATCTTAGCACTCTGGGAGGCTGAGGTGAGAAGATGGCTTGAGTCCAGGAGTTCGAGACCAGCCTGAGCAAGAGCAAGACTCTGTCTACTAAAAATAGAAAAATGAGCTGGGCATAGTAGTAGATGCCTATAGTCCCAGCTACTCAGGAGGCTGAGGCAGGATCACTTAAGCCCAGGAGTTTGAGGTTGCTGTGAGCTAAGCTAACACCATAGCACTCTAGCCTGGAGCGACAGAGTGAGACTTTGTCTCAAAAAAGAGAGAGAGAGAGAGACTTTTAAAGCGCTTATTTGCAAAGGACTTGTTGATGCACTAGATAGAGATGTGAAGAAGAAGGTGGTGTTAAGATGTCTCTGAGGTTGCTGATTTATAGAACAGATGGTTGGTGACGCCATCCACTAACACAGGAACACTGCAACACCCAGGTAGGCAGAACCACATAGGGCAACTTCGGATACCCCGGATTTGAGGTATCTGTGAGGCAGTTCAGTGTATTGAGCTCAATGGGGAGGAAGGGGCTAGAGTTAGGAGTTTAGGAGTGCCGGGATCTAGGAGAGGTGGCTTAGGGAGAAAAGGGCACCTGTGAAGGAGCAGATACGAAGGAAGATGAGGACGGACTTGAAAATAGCTTTTGTGTTTGGTGACGGGAAATCACTGTTAATTGTAGTAAGGGCTGTTTTATAGTGGAGGGGGTAGAGGCAAAACCCGGTTTTAGAATGGATTGGGGATGAGTGGGAGGTGAAGAAACGGAGACAGCTGAGCTGAGAGCTTCGGTTGTGAAGGGAGAGCTGAGGGTGGGTAGCTGGAGGCGTATGTGAGATTTAGGAAGTTTTTTGTTTTTGTTTTTGCTTTAATGACATTTACAAATGCTTCATTATAAGCATTTGTAAATGTCAGTAGGAAGAATCCGGATTTGGTGATGATGGGGGTAGGCTGGGGTGGTTGGATCTACCTGAAAGAAAAGGGATAATTAATAGAGGACAGTGCCTGATAGGGTGGAGGGAATTGGCTTCCTAGCCCAGGTCGGGGGGGGGGTCTTGAAGAGCCAGGTGGGGGGACAGCGAAGAGAAAGGATTGGTTGGGGTGCTGGAGGCAGGATAGAATGATCAATGTGGGAGGTCAGGGCAGCCCCTCCAATGGCCCAGTTCTGTGAAACAGAAGGTGAAGCCACTGCTGGCAGCACGTAGCCCTTCCTCTCACTACCCTTAACTGCCCTGTCTCAGAATGACTGTGGTGACTCAGTTTTACCTAAGGCCCCTGCCTTGTCAAAGGACTCGGCTGAAGGCTAAGAGACAAAGGCTGCTGGGGCTGCCCCCAGAGCTCCACTTGGTTTAGAAGTGTTCAAGGACAAGACCAGAAATTGCTTCTTTGACGGGCAGGATCTTACCACAAAGGACATTTGCTCAGGAGGGAATCTCAACTGTTTACTGTGGTTTCCTATTTTGAGGGGAGGCTAGAGAGGGAAGGCAGAGAGCCTGGAAGGCCTGAAATCCCAGCTAGGAGATGGGTGAGGGGTTTGCAGTGGAAGGGGTCATTCCTTCCTGGACTTGGCCCCCTTTGAGGTGGAAAGGGGAAAGGCTAGGACTAGAAAGGCAAGAAGAGTGGCCAGGGCTTCCTGGCTGGGGAAGGAGTAGCCTGCAGAGACAGTCCCTCCCACCCCACAGGAGAGGAGAGGAGTGGGGAGGCAGGGACAAGACAGGAGAGGACAGGAGTAGGAAAGCAGGGAGAGCTGGACAGCAGGAGCACCCAGATCTAAGCTCCATTCCAGTATACAGAGTAGCCATATTTTCCTAGGGCTGACCAGGTAGTCCCTCCCTTGCACAGGATACAGGGGCTTGTTGTGGAGAAGACCTCCTTTGGGGGGTCCAGTGATATCAGGGAACCCTGTAAATAGCAGGCCAACCACTACTGCTGGAAGCTGAGTCCTGAGAGATTGGGGAGGAGGTCTGGAGAGGGGGTGGGTGAAGACACCGTTTTAATCATTAACCTGGTTGACTGAAATCCGAACTGCTGAGCCTCCCAGCTCTATTGATTTTCTCCGAAAGCACAGCATCTGGAGCTGGTGGCTGCCCAGAGACCAGGGAGAGAGCCTGAGGGGAGAGGTGGGGGAAGAGGGGACAAGGAAGGAAATGGGAATCAGGCCAGGAGGAGGAAGGATCAGGGGAGCCTTTGGGGACATGAGGGAAGCCAGAAAGCCTGAGCAGGCACTGGGGGAGGGCACAGCGTAGCCACAGAGGCACCACTGAGATGGAAGGGGCCAGAGAAGATCTTGCGGAGAGGACAGAACTAAAGCCCAAAGAAGCACAGTGACCTGCTCAAGGTGACAAGGCCAGAGCCTGCACCAAATCCAAGGTCAGCTGACTTCACTGCACAGAGGAGAGAAGATAGAGAAATATGAAAGCCCCTGAGGTCAGGAGAAAAGCTGAGGTGATGGAAAGGCAGCAAGAGATTCAATTTACAGATGACCATTTTTCTGAGAATGAGGGCCTTTCCTTTTTTTTATCTGTGAGGATATAGTAGACTGCCTGTGTCCTGCCCTAGGGGCAATGTCCTTTAAGACCTATGGAACCAGTGGCTATTGATTGAGGAAAAAATAAAGTTGAAAGCAGCAAGAGATAAAGAGGCAAGACACACAGAATAGTTTTCTAAGGTGGGACACAGGGGACCATCGCTAGCTTGTGGGGCATCAGTGAGTGGCCCTGAGTGCTTGTCCCATCCAGCTTTTATTGAAGTGTATTTTCTCATTTAGCCGAGAGGGTAAGCTGAGGAAGGGAATACAAGGTCAACACTTTCTCTGACTAAGCATGTTAGTTCTTATTCTATCAATAATCATTAACTTTAAGGGTCTGGACAGCCTTGAGCAATCCAAACCCTGAGTCTTGTCTTGTGTAGGGGCAGCCTCCTGTGTGTGGTCACGCAGACAGATACGTTGGGGGGTTATATCCCTTTGGTTTCTCTGTGGCGCAGATGCAGGGGGGTCAGTTGTCCTCTGAAAAATTGGTGGGAAAGAGAGATTTTCCCCTTATCTCCATGGAGAGGCATTTCCCTCCATGGTTAGGGGATAAGCCCTCCTGCCCATGTCTCAGGGCTTGAGCTGTTCCCTTGATCTCTGCCCAAAGTAAATACCCACAATGGGTAAATACCATTTGCTTTGTTGACTGGGCAGGAGTCAGCCTGGTTAATGTTCCTTCCCAGGCCTTGCACACAGCTTCTGCTATGGCCATAGTTCTTCAGAATGCTTACAGACCCAGCAGGGGTGTTTGAAAGCTGTATCCCTTACAGGCCAGGCAGTAAAAGCAGAAACTGCTCAGACAAGTAATTAACTGTTAGTTTAAAAGGAAGCTAACTAAACTGTTTTTATTCTGCCTTGCTCAGCTTATTTCTCTGTTTTTCCCTTTTTCTGGGGGTATTTTCCCTTGCCAAGAATGGGGTCTTTTGTCTCCATTCTCCCTGCAGTAGACATTCAAAAAACAGCTCTGAGGCTGGACATGGTGGCTCATGCCTATAATCCTAGCACTCTGGGAGGCCAAGGCGGGTAGATTGCTTGAGCTCACAAGTTTGAGACCAACAAAAGCGAGACCCTGTCTCTATAAAAAATAGAAAAACTGAGGCAAGAGGATTGTTTGAGCCCAAGAGTTGGAGGTTGCTGTGAGCTATGACTCCATAGCACTCTACTCAGGGCAACAGCTAGAGACTCTGTCTCAAAAAAATAAATAACAAAAACAAAAACAAAGACGACTCTGGTCTGACTGAGGGAGGGGTCAGGCTGAAGGAGGAGGAAAGAGCAAGGTAACAGAGATGCCAGAAGGAGCTGGACCTCAAGGGGCACCAAGAAGATACCTGATCCATAATCCCTTAGGCCCTGATAAGATGGGCATTCACCAGGACATCTCACAGGACTCCTGGCTCTCTAGGATTTCTGATGCTAGGATTCATAGGTCTAAGTTACCTCTGAGACAGAAGGGGACCCTTGCCTGGATGGCCACATTCTGGTGGGCAGGGTCAGAAGCACATACATAAGCACTGATGTTCCAGCCTGGTCCCACAGCACCCCTCGCCAGTGCCAACTCCTAGAATAGCTCTTTGAGCTGGAGGGGCATGCGCCAGGCTGGCTTCCTTGGAGAACCATAAAAGGAAAGGAGGGGCTTGAAGACAAAATCAGTCAAGTACACAATGAGCAAGGGGAACATGATGGTAGAAATGGAAATGGACACAAACGTACACACACAACATGGGTCTGATGAGACTCTGCTCACAGAAGCAGACACAGAAATTTCTGTGGCTATGTTGAGGGCGCTGAAGGAAACTAAAATACTTCACCCCAAAAGATATTTCTTCCACATACTTTGAGATGGCTGTTCAGAGGGCCTGCAAAGCTGTCTCTTGTGGGGGATGTCTGCATCTGTAGGGAATCTGCATTGATGCACCCAGGTTTTCTCTGAGGTCCTCTCCCTTAATCCCCAATCTAAGAAAGATTAACTGAAAGTCTGACACCTTTCAAGGTCTGAAAGAAATATTTACCATCTAAACTCTCAGGGGTGCTGCTGCCCATAAGGTTTCATCCATATAACAAGATCACCTTTGCTAGCTGGCCTCCTCTTCTCTCCCTTCTATAACCTATTTTGCCGTGATCCAAGCCCCTGTTCTTCATTTCTTTGAGTTATTTTGTGTGACTCCCATGCATGATAATAGATTGGTATAGCTGCTCTCCTATTAATCTGCCTTTTGTCAGTGTATTTTTTTCAGCAAACCTTCAGAGGATGAAGGAGAAATGTTCCCCTACGGCATTATAGGAATTCTGTCTGTAGTTGTGGTATACTATTGGGTATCAGCCTGGCCAGTCCTCCATCATGAAAGTTTCACATTCCAAAGGGAGACTCTGGCTAGGAGGGTGAGGGAAAATAAAAGCAAGGAGTACTGCCTATAATGTCTTTTCTCTCCCATTTCTCTGGCAGCTCAACATCCTGGTGGACACAGGCAGTAGTAACTTTGCAGTGGGGGCTGCCCCCCACCCTTTCCTGCATCGGTACTACCAGCGGCAGCTGTGAGTCCAGGGGAGATCCCTGGGGGGAGGTACCTTTCCCAAGGATCCAGGGCCAAGAAGGGTTAGGGGAAGGGTACAGTAAGATTAGATTCTAGGATCCTTTCTTCTTCTGGAGGAAGGGGGAGGGAGAAGACAACAGTGACCAGGAAAGACAGGGTGAAGAGGGCATGGTTTGAGGAGGTATACCAGGGGAAAGGGGATACCTAATGGGCAGCTAGAAGTGCTTCAGTAGTGGGACAGGGCAGCCTCCTGTGAGAGGGAAAGAAGGAAGGGGAGGAGCCACATATCTTACAGGGCAATGTCAGGGGGCTCATTTTCTCTGCCTGAATATGGAGGTAATAGAACCACACCCCTTAAGTGGCTCTATTTTCTGACACAGCTAAGTCTTGGCTGAATAGGCCTCAGTGATAGCTCACTTTGTTGTGTTCTCAACCAGGGGTCACTCTTGGTGGCTTTGCACAGACCAAGGACATGAAGCGCCCTCCATAAACCCCACTGCCCAGACCAGTATCAGGGACCAAAAGCTAAAGTATCTCCTCTGTGCGTCATGTAGATTCAGTGTACTGGTGAAAGGGGGGGGGGGTTGGAGTGGGTTTTTAAGGTTAAGAGAGGCAGTGAGCGATAATGTGGAAACCCCCATAGCAAAAAGCAGGAGGAAAATGTGATGGGAGGCCATCTAATGTCTGAGACATCTGTGTATGAAAATGTTTGAGTAGAGGCTTAAACTTTGCACCTTCTAAGCAGGTGCAAAACCCACCTTCTCCATTTCCTGCCGCCTTTGGCTCCTTTCCCTTTAATGTTTCTATCTAAATGAGGTAGTCAGGGAGAGGAGCGTGGGCAAGACAGATGAAAGGGCATTCATTCCAGGTCCTGGTCCTAATCCATCACTGCCTCTTACCACTGCCTCATACCTGCCCTGGACAGTGATGTGATTAAACACAGGTGGGGTATCATACATTGATGAGCATGTTTATAGAAGTAACGCTGACCTGCTGCACTGAGATGCTTGTGCAAATCCTTTCTCTACAAGAACTGCCATAAAGGTTTTACATTCATGCTGCGTGGCACTTTCACGACTCGGATGGTACCACTGTGTCCCAAGACAGCAAGAGGGTCAATTCAATAGCTCCTTTCTCTGGGAGGTTGATGGAGCCAGAGGGAGGAAGGGATTGCCCACTAGCTGTCCCGCAGCAGTAGCAGGCACAATGAACAAAGCTCAGGCTTGTTCTTTGTAGAGCCTGAGCTCAAGACCTACAAATATGAGCTATGGAGACAAGAGAACGAGCCCTGGCGATAGCTCCCCTCATGTCCTGGCAAGGCCACTATACATTCTGATCTGGGTGATAGGTCTGGGGATATTCTGCAGAATAGTCTGCAAGCAGACTCTAGGATGCCCCTGAGTTAAGGTGGCCTTTGGAGGTGGTTTATGCTGGATCCCTGTATCAGTTGTGGTTATGCATCCATAGATCTTTGCCTTCTTTCCACAGGTCCAGCACATACCGGGACCTCCGAAAGGGCGTGTATGTGCCCTACACCCAGGGCAAGTGGGAAGGGGAGTTGGGCACTGACCTGGTGAGCATCCCCCATGGTCCCAATGTCACTGTGCGTGCCAACATCGCTGCCATCACTGAATCAGACAAGTTCTTCATCAATGGCTCCAACTGGGAAGGCATCCTGGGGCTGGCCTATGCTGAGATTGCCAGGGTAAGAGGAATGGGGCCTGGCCCTAAACACTGTCTGCATCTTGCACACTGCATGCTACACGGGGAAGGAGTTAGGAGAGAGAAGGGGAAGGAATCGACTAAAGAGGGGAAACAAGTCAGTTTACAGGATTAATAGAACAAGGTAATAGAGTTCAGCCCTATAGAGGACGAATTCTAGTGAGAGAAGCTGCAGTAGGTATAGGAATTGGTAGTTTCTCCTTAAGATCTTTAAGAATAATAAAGGCCTCCAAAAACCGGAAGGTTAGGCATATGGGGATCAAAGCTCTGTGGATCTGCGAGCCCGTCAGTACTTTCCTGGTTGTGTGGCCAGTGTCCCTTGCTAACCTCCTCTCTGCCAGACCTCAGTTCCTTAAGATGGTCTTTCCCAAGGAATATCCCCAAATTTTCACTTTTGCCTTCCAGTTTAGACAGGCAGCTGGCTTCTGTCCACTAGGGCTCTCTGTATAAGGATTCACTCCTTGTCTCTTTCTGCCACAGCCTGATGATTCCCTGGAGCCCTTCTTTGACTCCCTGGTGAAGCAGACCCACGTTCCCAACCTCTTCTCCCTGCAGCTCTGTGGCACTGGCTTCCCCCTCAACCAGTCTGAAGTGCTGGCCTCAGTCGGAGGGAGCATGGTGAGTGGGTGCTCAGAGAGGGCAGGTCCTGGCACTGGGAGAGAGATGGCTGCCAGCTGCCCTGTTTCCTCAAGGATAGACCACGGGTGGCTCCACTACTTGGAACCAAGAGAAATCTCTTTATATTCTCCACCCCTACTTTTCTTTTTCTATCCTTTTCTTTGCATTATCCTAGAAGGATTCAAAGTACCTCTGGTAAGCCTGGAAAGGATCAGAAACGATTAGAAAAATTTCAAAGGAAATAAAAATAAGACCTATCGAATTAAGATTATTCAGTCTGAAGGTGAGAAGGCTGAGATATAAGGAGTTTAAGTCTATTTATTAATTAATTAGAACATTGTTCTCCAACAAGCAGAGAAAATAAAACTTATAATAGAAACAACCATTCACTCGACATTTATGGTGCCAGTTTAGGTTTAAATAAATTTATGCCAAGAGCTGTGTGATTCTGAACAAATAAAAAAATCCTGGAAAATCTCTTCTCCTGAACACATGTAAGAAACTACAAATCACTCCTGGGCATGATTTGATTAGAAGCAGGAAGATGAAAAAGGTAGTCTGTAGAAGACCTTGCCGTCCCCAAGGAACTACTGATCTCATTGCTTGGTCTCTGCGTGAGTTGCTGTCCTTCTGTGCCGGAACACAGGTACCTGCCTCTTTTTGTCCCTAGATCATTGGGGGCATCGACCACTCACTGTACACAGGCAGTCTCTGGTACACACCCATCCGGCGGGAGTGGTATTATGAGGTAATCATTGTACGAGTGGAGATCAATGGACAAGATCTGAAAATGGATTGCAAGGAGGTAAAGGGGGATACAGAGGAGGAAAGGGGGTAGGCAACATGGTGGGAGGGAAAAGGCCCTGGTTACAAGGCAGGATGAAGAAGAGGTGTGGGACTTGCAGGAAGAGCTGGGGCTGAGCCTTGAATAGTCAGGAGCCTAATGGTCACAGCAGGACCTAAGGTTTGGGCTTAGGACTGGCAGAACACTTTCACAGGGATCACAGAGCGTAGGGTCTAGTGATGAAAAAACCATGGAACTAGTTTTGACGTCTGGACTCCCTCTCCTCTCCCTCTTAGTACAACTATGACAAGAGCATTGTGGACAGTGGCACCACCAACCTTCGTTTGCCCAAGAAAGTGTTTGAAGCTGCAGTCAAATCCATCAAGGCAGCCTCCTCGGTCAGTGGACTATGGATGGGGTAAAAGACATGGGACAGAGAAGTCAGTGAGAGTCACATTCCTCAGTGGGAGCCAAGATATCTACATGCAGATCCTGCCTCTTAGAGCTCTTAAAAATATCTTCTCCTCCATGGGTCTCAAGTTTGCTCATCACACAATCCCCCAGACAAATTTTTGACCTCAGTCTCCTGCTCTCCTTCTCTAATCTGTCAGTGCAGTTTACCTTTCCCCACTTTGTATATTTCAGTGGAAAAGCAAATAAAGGGCCGCCCTGTCAAGGTTATTTGAAAATCAGAGAGGTGAGATGCTTAGAGCCTGTTTCCTCACAGTTATCCCCTTGTTGTCAACACAGACGGAGAAGTTCCCAGACGGTTTTTGGCTAGGAGAGCAGCTCGTGTGCTGGCAGGCAGGCACCACCCCTTGGAACATTTTCCCAGTCATCTCTCTCTACCTAATGGGTGAGGTCACCAACCAGTCCTTCCGCATCACCATCCTTCCACAGGTAAGTCTCCAACCTAAGTCAGTGGGACCCCATAAAGAGGACAAGGTACATACTGGGGAACAGTGAGCAGGCCTGGCTTCCCAGAACCTGGAAGACAGAACAGATGAATGTCCAATGGTAAAGGAATCTTGCAAAGTGCAAGCCCTCAGACCTCTGGAACGGCAAAGGGAAAAGCTACCAAAGTAAGAGCAGAGATGGCCAGAGGTGAGATGGGGTAAAAGCTGGCGTGAGGGAGACGCTCTTACCTGTGATTGCTTCCCCCCAGCAATACCTGCGGCCGGTGGAAGATGTGGCCACGTCCCAAGATGACTGTTACAAGTTTGCCATCTCACAGTCATCCACGGGCACTGTTATGGGAGCTGTCATCATGGAGGGCTTTTACGTTGTCTTTGATCGGGCCCGAAAGCGAATTGGCTTTGCTGTCAGCGCTTGCCATGGTGAGAGCACCAGGGATGAGGGTGTGGGCTCTGGTCTATCTGAATTCTCCCTGTTAGCAGTTAGGATGCCTGGGCCCGTTAGTTTGGGAGGTAGTAACAGTTGCCTCAAGCCAAAGTCACCATACTGTCCAAAAGCTAGTGTACGTGCCAGTCCTTTCGTGCCCTGCCTTCCATGGTGACCTCTGTTGGAAACCCTGGGTAGCAAGAGCAGCCTGAGCACCTTGGGAAGCCCTAGATGCAAGGGCAGCAGGCTGAGTCTGTGTCAACCCTGTCAGCTGCTGGACGGTGAGGTTTAAAGCTACTTCAGAAAGGTGACAGGGTTTTGCAGTTGGATTTCAGCAGCAGAAAGTAAGTTTACTAGGCGCACAAGGGCCAGCTTTTGGTCACCTCAGAACTGCTGACTTTTATCTATCATTCCTACTGGGTGGGTTTACAGGCAAGGGCTGCTGCTTCCAGTGACCTGGGGGAGAGGGAGGCCTCTACCTGGTACTGGCTTTCTGGCCGGCTCTTAAATCTCCAGGGAAGGAGATTCCACAACCTCTGCAGGGGCTAATTACAAGGTCTCACTCTCAGGAAGTTCTTTTGTTGTATACCCCAAACTGCCCTGTGCAATGAGACCTGCCCATTCACATCTGCCTTCTCCCCAGTGCATGATGAGTTCAGGACAGCAGCAGTGGAAGGCCCTTTTGTCACTCCGGACATGGAAGACTGTGGCTACAACATTCCACAGACAGATGAATCAACCCTCATGACCATAGCCTATGTCATGGCTGCCATCTGCGCCCTCTTCATGCTGCCACTCTGCCTCATGGTGTGTCAGTGGCGCTGCCTCCGCTGCCTGCGCCACCAACATGATGACTTTGCTGATGACATCTCCCTGCTGAAGTGAGGAGGCCTATGGGCAGAAGACAGAGATTCCCCTGGACCACCTCTGGGTGGTTCACTTTGGTCATGTAGGAGACATGGAGTGCACCTGTGGCCAGAGCACCTCAGGACCCTTACCCACCTATCACATGCCTCTGTATTGACAGAAAAGGAAAAGTGGCAAGGTGGGCGACAGGGATTGTACCTGTAGGGCACAGGAGTGGAAGAAAGAAGCATTCTGGTGGCGGGAATACTCTTGGTCACCTCAAACTTAAGTTGGGAAATTCTGCTGCTTGAAACTTCAGCCCTGAACCTTCACCTACCATCCCTTTAAATTCTCCAGCCCAAAGTATTCCTCTTTTCTTAGTCCCAGAAGTACTGGCATCACACCCAGGTTACCCCAGTGTGCGTCCCTGTGGTACCCTGGCAGAGAAAGGGCCAATCTTGTTTCCCTGCTGGCCAAAGTCAGTAGGAGAGGATGCACAGTTTGCTATTTGCTTTAGCGATAGGGACTGTAAAAACATGCCTAACATTGGTGCAAAGACTCCCTCTTGAATTAAAAAATTAGATTGAATATATGTATTGGTACAAGTGGGGGTGGCCGGAAACAGAAGGAGAATGAGTACAACAACAGAGAACAGTTGGGATCAACACTAGGAAAGGCAGAAACACAACCACTTACCAGTCCCAGTTTCAGACCTCATCTCCAAGATAGAACCCGCCTTCTAAGGTGGGTACCGTATTGTTTCCCAGATGTTTTTTCTGTGGTTGCAGCCTGACCAAAAGTGAGTTGGGAAGAAGGGCTTATCTAGCCAAAGAGCTCTTTTTTAGCTCTCTTAAATGAAAAGTGCCCACTAAGAAGTTTTACTTAACACATGAGTTTCTACCTTATTAATCCCACTCATCTCTACCTGAACCCTTTATTCTACGTGATAGGTAGTACTGAAATTGCCCACCCCACCCCAAGCTCCAGGTGCCCGATAGGAGAGCAAATGGAATATAGCAGGGCTGGGCTCTGTCTTCCTGGTTACAAGTTCACTCCTTTCCCCAAATTCCTCTTCCTCTGGAGCTTTGCAACGAGGTGCTAAACAGAATAGATAGGACATCTCTGTGACTTAATCTTTTGAAAGGAGAATACTGAGTTCAACAGCTACAGGGCTGATGCCCTGTACTGCTGCCTGAAATTCTTGCTGTCCATCTGTAAGAAGTGGTAAGATCTTTTCACAGCACAGCAGTCTCATTGCCTTCTTACCCTCTCTTCTTGCCCTTCCATTTGTTGGACTAAGGCTCTTACAGTGGCACTAGTATTATAGCAAGAGTGTCAGAAATACAGGGCTTTCTGGCTCTCATGTCATTGCCTTGGGTATCAGGCTGCCCAAAGAAAGGATGGCGGCCTCAGGGCTTCCTCGTGTCCTTCACCACAGACTCCCTTGATCGAGGCCATCCATTTCTCCTCCCCTGTTCTCTACTCTCCACTCCTAACAGCAGGAGGGGTAGCCAGGCTGGTTCTTGGGCTAAAAAGTGGGGACCAACTTTATTACTTCCCGATCAGTTCTAACACACAGACTATGATACCACTGTTAGTGGGAAGAGCTAAATTTTCCTGGTGTACCCATCACGGTCTATCCCTATCTGGTTAACACACTGCTTCCAGGTATAGGACCTACCAAGTGTAGAATTACCTATGAGGGAGAGGGAGATACAAGGAGGGCCTCTGGAGTTCCTGGCCTCAACCAGCTGCCCACAAGCCATAAATCAATAAAACAAGATTACTGAGTCAAGTTTTTTATCTGGCTTCTCTTCATTCTCATCATACTGGTGCTGCTTTGGCTCACTGGAAATATCCCATAACTACAAAGACTGACAGGAAGACTGGAGACTGTCCACTTCTAGCTCAGAACTTATTGCATAAATAAAATCCTAGAAGTGCTACCATGAAATGAAAATGACGCATTCTCATTTATAATTTCTACCCATGTTGGGGAAAACTGGCTTTTCCCCAGCCCTTTCCAGGGCATAAAACTCCACCCTTTACTAGTAAGTCCCACTGTCTAATTTTTTTTTTTTTTATGAAAACTTATACTTTTCATAGTTATTTCCTTTCTATCCTGAAACTATGAACTCTAAGTATATATATAAAAAAAATCTTGACAACAGCTTTTTGTTTGTAAAAATATGTATTATACATCTCTATTTTTCAATTCTACTCCCCAAAAGTGACTGTCCCATCTCTACTTACTGCTTTTGGGGTCTACCCCATTGGTCTGCCTGGCTTTTACCACTGCAGGCTAGTAGACAGAGAAGGGAGAATAGGAGTGGCCAAAACTTAAGTGTTGCTTTCTGATTGATCATGAAAAAGAAAGGGGAAATAGTAACACTGAGGCCCCAACTCTCATGCACAACTCTCCAAAACACTTACCCTCTGTTAGAGTTGGCTTTCCAAGGATTATACCGGGAAGCAGTTAAACCCCCTCCTCACTCCCTCTTTTTTCTCTCCCTACTCCTTTGGCTTCAAAGACTTTTGGAAAAGAAACAATATTCTTTACATTCACTTCCAATTTCTAAATTTTTAAAGAGATACTGAAAAATACTACAAGTGGCCCAAGGCTGCTGCCAAGTGGAAAGAAAAATCTTAAGATTACAAGATTAAAAAATGAATCCCTCAAATGAAAGAAACAAAGGAGCTGGTCTTCCATATGTCACCTTTCCTGTTCATGACAGCTACCAAACTGGAGAAAGTAATATTTCATTATCCAAAGAAAGTGGGTCATCTGACCTCTGAAGAGTTGAGTACTCAGGCCACTCCAATCATCCTACAAGATGCCAAGGAGGTCCGAGGAAGTCCTGCTCCTGAAACCGATACTAGTCAATAAACCTGGGCAAGTAAGGCAAGAGAAAAGAAAAAGAATTCATCTATGAGCATATAGGCGCAGATGAACAACAAAGGAAAACAGGAACAAACAGAAAGGAGAGAATTTAGCTGGGTCTGGAAGAAAAAGTGTTTGCTACCCTGATATGTACTAGTACCAGTAAGCATTTCCAGTTCCCAGAATGGAAAAACTTCAGTTGTCAATGACACAGTGATGTCCCTTCCCTGCAGCCATTTTTTTTAACTGACACTTAGTTTTTACTTGTTTAATTCTAAAAGAGAAGAGAGCTGAAGCCATTTCCTGTAGGAATAAAGGTAAAATGACAGGAAAAGATTCAAAGCTCTATATTCTAATAGAGTCACTGCTTTCCTAGGCATCAAAACTAAAAACCCAGAAATCCAATAAGAGTTGGAAAAATGATCTAGTTCTGGATAGCTACCCACAGAACAAATTATAAACGTGAAATTCAAATGACTTTCTTCACGTCACTTTGGCCTCCATTTTTCCTAACACAGGAAACAGAGCTTTCTTGCTTCAAAAATAAAAACCGAGCACCCCAAGATCCTTCTGAAGTAATTCTGTACAGACATGTCCTCACCCCAGTGCCTGTCTGGAGCTTACCCAAGGTCACCAAACAACTTGGTTGTGAACCAACTGCCTTAACCTTCAGGGGGGAGGGAGGGCTCGCTAGACTAAGAGACCAGAAGTAAATGGGAAGGGTTGAGGACTTCACAATGTTGTCCTGTCACAGCCTGATGAGAAGCCAAGCCAGTGGCAGCAAGAGATGGCTCGGCCCAGGAAAAACTCGTGGGTTGTGCTAATTTCTATGCAGGAAGAAGGGTGAACAGAAGCTTGTAGGGGGTATGGAGGAAATGGAACCTGGTTATATTGTTATTCTTGGATATTTTGCTGATGTAAAACAGAATATTCTGTAAACCTAATGTCTATGTATAAGTGAGCGTTAACACAGTAAAATATTCAATGAAAAGTCGAACTATTAGGGTTACATTTTTTTTTTCCTCAGTCAGTCTCCTTTTATCCATCTGGAGTGACTAAAACAATACTGAGGCTTCTGGAGGCTTTCAGTAAGCAAGGCATCTGGTTGGACAGCAGGTGAGCACCAGGCTTTAAATCTGCAGACAGGAACCTTAAGAAAATGGACTAGAGGCTGAGCCCAACCAAAGCAGGATGGCTGTAGAGCGACAGCAGCTTCCTAGATGGTTTTTATATTGTATTTGAAAACAGCCCTGGGCAGCGATATCATAATTTCAAGGCCAAACTAAAAAACTTCCCTACAATCTGCATCCCCCAACGGAATTGTAAGATGAGGGGAACAGACTGTTTCTGCATAATATACATACTTTCATTTACGAACATTTGAATACAGACTTTCTATACACATATTACCTATATAATAAAAATGTACATGGCATGAGTATATGTCACTGTATAAATATAGAGTTTTAGAAATCTTGAACCCGCGCTTCCTGTTCACATCAGTTTCTCTTCTTCTTCCTCCCCAGTCAGGTCCGTCATTTAAGAGTTGGACAAAAGGGACAAGTGTCATTTGTGTTGGTCTGGGCCCAGAATTTGATACACTGGAAAGAGAGAAAGACACACCTCAGGTTTATCTAGAAAAATTAGGGGAAGGAAGGAGAGAGTCCCAATAACAATAAATAACACCTAAGTCAAGAAAGTTCCTAGTGTGGGGTATGAAAGGGGTATTTCAATGGCTCTGACCCCCCCAAACATCTTCAGAGAAGATAAACCTATACTTTTCACAAGGAACATTAACAATTAGCTAAGAAGAATGTTCAAGGCTGGGCATGGTGGGTCATACCTATAATCCTAGCACGGCTGAGGCAGGAGGATCTTTTTAGCTCAGGAGTTCAAGACCAACCTAAGTTAAGACCAAGAACCCATCTCTACTAAAAATGGAAAAATTAGCTGGGCGTGGTGGTAGGTGCCTATAGTCCTAGCTACTTGGAAGGCTGAGACAGGAGGATTACCTAAATCCAAGGGTTTGAAGTTGCTATAAGCTCCACTGAGGCCACGGTGCTCTAGTGTGAGCAACAGCATGAGACTGCCTCATTAAAAAAAAGAAAAAAAAAGTTCAAGCAGCTGCTTTGTGTTGAGCGTCTTGTGTGGTTTACTCCTTCTTACGCCCATTTGGCCTGAGATGCGCATCACCCTCAGATCTTACTCAGGACTTTTTCTTACCAAGAATTTAGATATGAATTCAGTTTTTGCATCTTGGAAAAACAAAATTAACAAAACGAAATTGTTAAGGACTTAAGAGACTTAACCCCGCCCAGTAACATGAGAAGAGACTAGGAATGACTTGTCAGTCTGGGAAGGTAATCTCTAACAGGGAGGCCATCAGGCTATTCTGTTAATGGAGTTACTTAGTCATCTCACACTCAGGTTCTCCATTCCATTCCTCTCATCTAAGCAAAGTCTCTTGACACTGTTATATCTGGAACAATGGTTAGATATGCTCAATTATCTCTTATTGTCCATTTTCCACCGACTTTTCAGTGCTCTAATATGAACTGCTTATCCAGTTCCCTGAAGGGAATGAGGTAAAAAGAAGCTAGGAGATTCAGCTGAATCTGGATTCAGGATTCTGTATTCTGGAATCTGTATTCTGGATTCTGCTCATGTTAAGCCCCAATTTACTGAAAACTGTATGATTATATATATATATATATATATTGAATTTTACTTTCAATTGGCTTTCAATTGTTTTTAATTTTCATTTTTTTCTTTTATTTATTTATTGATTTCTTTTTTTCTGCAGCTTTTGGCCGGGGCTGGGTTTGAACCTGCCACCTCCAGCATATGGGGCCAGCACCCTACTCCTTTAAGCCACAGGCACCGCCCTATTTATTGATTTTTTTTATTGAGACAGAGTCTCACTTTGCGGCCCTCAGTTGAGTGCTATGGCATCATAACTCACAGCAACCTCCAATTCTTTGGCTTAAGCGATTCTCTTGCCTCAGCCTCCCAAGTAGTCGGGACTACAGGCGCCCGCCACAACACGGCTTATTTTAATTTTTTTTGGTAGAGACTGGGTCTCACTCTGGCTCAGGCTGGTCTAGAATCTCTGAGCTCAGGGCAATCCACCCACCTCGACCTCCCAGAGTACTAGGATTACAATCATGAGTCACCACGCCTGGCCAGTAATGCACACCAACACAGTAAAATGTTTAAGAGAAACTATCTTAGCTATCAGAAAAGAAAGTAGAAAATGCAGAAGGTATGCAGCACCTACCTCCTTGTGTAACACATGGGTACATGCCATTGGGTGCAGCTCACTGGGCTGGACAAGTTTCTGGCACATTAGACACAGCTTACAGGTGGCTGGAGTCTGCAAAAGATAGGAGGCCTGGTCAAAAGGTAAGAAACCTCTGCCTTTTAGATTCATAATTCCATCTTTATTTCCATGTAGCAAAAAAGATTTTACACCAAAAGAAATAAAAGTTCAAATACAAGTTCTTGCCAAAAATACTTGCATTTTTCTAGCAGGGCTGCCAATAACCCACTGATAAGATGATGGTTTCTTACTACACTCCACCTTAAACCCACTCCTTCCCAACCTCCAGCTTTTCCATATCCCAGTGTTCTAAGAAAAAGAGTCTTACATGTGAAGACCTTCCAGAATATGAAACCTGGGCAGAAGGCAAGAACATTGGGGTACTGATTTGGGCCAGTGGAGCAGGGAATAAGGCTCGGATCCGACCAAGAGGCTGTGGGTAGAAACATTGTCCGGGTAAGGGAAGAGAGGAACAGAGCATATAACAAGAAAGAATCATTTATTTCCCAGTACAGCAGAGGAAGAAAGCAGACTAGCCACCCTTGGCTGGAATGCCTTTTCCCATACCTAATTTTTCTGAGGCGTATGCCTCTTCTGCAGTATCTCAGTCAGCCCAACTTCTCTCCCAAGTAGCTTTTCTCACCTGAGTACTTGCTGCCATCCGCTCGTGTTCTGCTAGCCGTGCGGCTACCAATTGGATCAGTTCCTCCATGGTCAAGCCTGCCATGGTGGTACGTGCTGTCTTGATCTGCTGAAGAATGTTGGTCATCTGGGCCCTAAGAAGGGGGAATGCTGAGGGAGGTTCTATGCCTACCCATCGAGAACACCCACGCAACCTCCCTGCTTTAACCCACAGCATCTCTCTGGCCAAGGCGCTTACTTATTGCACTGTGGGAACCGGGCCAGCAGCTTCTCCAAAATCTTCTCCAGTTTGTCTGCTGGCTGGGGCCGAGGAGTTTCAGAAGAAGCCTTAACACCGCCCAGGCCTGGGGGAGGCAGGATGGAGGCGGCAGGGGGCATGTGTGGACCGTGGGGGCTGACAAGGGAACCCAAGCCAGGGCTATTTCTCCCATGTGAGCCAGGAAGGGGTGGGGAAGGCTGGTTAGGCTGGGAAACGGCTGGGTTCAGGATCGGGAAAGACAAGGAACGGGGATCTGCACTGGGCATAACCATGGGCATTGTGACCTGCCCAATGGAGAAGGGCATCCGAGGAGCCAAAGAGGGACTGGGTTGAAACACCTGAAGCATGAAGTCTGTCTGCAGAGGGGAAGAGGTCGAGGACAAGAGAGAAAGAAAAATAAAGTTTAAGAAAATGGAGCGGAAATCAATGAGCAACTCTTGCACCGAATAAGGATAGTCCCAGTATCTTCAAAACAAGAACAAGTAGAAGACTGTGCCTCTGCCACCAGCATGGAAAGACAGACTCCCAAAGCCAGGTCTCTTACCTCTGATGGGGGTGGAGGCAACGTGGGAGTAGGGATTTGAGGAAGGCTGCTCAATTTGGCTCCATTCCTCACTAGCTGGATATGACTATTAAATTGGTCCTAGAAAACAACGGAAGAATTATCTTTTACTGCTGAGCTGAGTGAGCCTCTCTAGAAAGAGAGTACCATACATTCTCAAAACAAGAGGAAGGTTAGGGTAGGCCCTAACTGACTCACAATTCAAAAGACTACTCCCTATTGCCAGAGTGTTTAAGCACAGACTAGCACTGACTGAATGATCACCCATCTCTCCACTTACCCTAACATTCTTTTTCATTATCCGAACTCCATTCAGTCTTGTCTCCCATTCCTGTTTGGAACGAACTGACTCCAATGTTGGGGGAGTTGACCTTTGAAGAAACCAACAAGAATTTACTGAATTAAAGAAAGCAGATTTCCTAATTCTCCAAGATAGCAAAACTGGAGCTGGCTAACTGGCCTTGAGAAAAGGTCTGAGTAAGTGCAGAAGCCCAAGATTCTAAGTCCTTTGCCTCACTTTAGTATTTATTTTGAGGCAAGAATCTCATTTTGCTGCCCTCTGTAGAGTGCCATGGCATCATAGTTCATAGCAACCTCAAACTCTTAGGCTCAGGTGATTCTCTTGCCTCAGCCTCCCAAGTAGCTGGAAGTGCAGGTGGCTGCCACACACCCAGCTATCTTTTTAGAGACAGGGTCTCGCAGTTGCTCAGGCAATCCACCTGCCTAGGCCTCCCAGAATGCTGAGATTATAGGCGTGAGCCACCACACCCCGCCTTCCTTTGCCTCACTTTAACTCCATTACCTTTTAAGCCAAGTATGTGAGAAAGAGGACTAACCACAGAGAAGAGTGTTCTGGTCTGCCTGACCAGAACAGGGGTCCTCCAAGTTCCATGGCAGAAAGAGGAGAAAAGACTATATAAAAAACGAATCTTCAAAGACTTTTGTTATGCTTTGACAGGTTAACAGATACTGTTTATCCAAATGGAAATAATATGATAAAAAAATACAAAAGTTGTAAAACTGTAAAAGGGAAGAGTTACAGAGTGAAGAAGTTCGAATGTGGGAAGAAAAAGGAGCAATTACTATTGCAGATGCAGATCCCCTTAAAATTCCTGTGAAGAGGGAACAAGTGCCAAGCTTGCTGTCCTAGGATTTCAAAAACCTAAACAAATTAACTGCAAGACAATTATAACTTGAGAATGAAAACCAGGGCTGGTGGCTCATTCCTATAATCCTAATACTTTGGGAAACTGAGGCAGGAAGATCAGGTAAGCCCAGGTAAGAGCCCATCTCTACAAAAAATAGAAAAAATTAGCCAGGCATGGTGGTGCTTGGCTGTAGTCACAGATACTCAGGAGGCTGAGGCAGGAGGATCACTTGAGCCCACGCATGATTTGAGGATGCAGCCAGCTATAACAAGAACACCACTGAATTCTAGCCTCAGCAACAAAGGACCTACCTCAAAAAACAAAACAAAGCCCCCTAATTCCAGAATGGGAAGATACTTACTTGAGGTAAGTAAGGTGCAATTCTGCCTCTTTTTCTGCTTCTTCTAGTTTCAATACCAACAACTCTTTTCTGCTCTCTAGTGATAAGATCTAAGGAAACCACACACAAAAACATCAATTTTACATACTTAAATCTACCCCTAGATAATTAAAACCAATGCTCTTCTATTACTACACCATAAAGAAGGCCAAAATCAGGACTTTCAAGATACCAGCTCTTTTCTCACCTCTGCCTTCCAGGCCCGTTCTGTCTCTTCCATAATGTTCCGGTTAATTTCACTATCCTGATTCTTGAGTCTATCCAGTTCCATTTCCCACACCTCTCTATAAAATAAGAAACCAAGAATAAGACTAAGGAAACAAAGATAAGCTTGTGAGGGACACCAAGGCAAAAGTAAAACCCAAAGCTGGTCTGCCAGGTACATCATAGGAACTCTTTAACTACTAACTGTAGGCACAGATTACGTGTAGAGTGGTCTGCAATTGCACAAAGGCCCTATATTCGAAAGTAAAAATGTTTACATCTCCTCTTGATAACATAAGGTTATGTAGTACAGAAAAAGGAGTGTGACTTAGAACCAAAACCCTCCACTGAAGGCAGAATGTTCAAAGGGGGTTCAAAATCATGATGGGCTTCTTCTTCCCAATTTGTCCCTTAGCATGAATACTGAAGAATGCAGAACCATGGCGGTGCCTGAAGTTCAGTGGATAGGACACCGGCCACTTACACCAAGGCTGGCAGGTTCGAACCCAGCCAGGGTCAGCTAAACAATAAGGACAATTGCTACAAAAAATAGCTGGGTGTTGTGGCAGGAGCCTGTAATCCCAGCTACTTGGGAGGCTGAGGCAAGAGAATCATTTAAGCCCAAAAGGTTGAGGTTGCTGTGAGCTGTGACACCACGGCACTCTACCTAGCACCCAAAGTGAGACTCTGTTTCAAAAAAATAAAAATAAAAATAAGGCAGAACCAAATATAGGAGTCCACTTAGTATTCACCTCTAACGCAGCAGTCACAGTTCACTACCAAGCACACAAGATACTGGCTTACAGATTTTCATGTTTCCTTAGCTATTATAGTAAACATTCTTCAAAAGGAAAACATTTTCTCTTCATATCTCTTATTTTCATTGGTTTCCTTCTTTCTTACATACTCACCTCTCTCCCCCGTGTGTGTTAAGCGTGAATATTACACCCCTAGAATGTAAAATTCATTCTCAGGATTAGGGTAACCAACTGTCCTGATTTGCCCAGCACTGAGAGATTTCCCAGGATGTGGGACTCTTAGTGGTAAAACTGGGACATCTGAACACCCAAAACAGGACTGAAAAGGCCATTAGGGAGCAGAGACAAATGAATGCAAATGAAGACATATATAAGCAAATGAATTTCCTAATATTATACTTAGTTGTAATAAGTTTATGTCTGAAAGCGCAGATTACCCAGATCAGGGGAGACAGAATAGTATGAAAATATTTAAATTATTTTCATTACATTTTAAAAAGGTAAAACTGGGGTGGCGCCTGTGGCTCAGTGGGTAGGGAATCAGCCCCATATACCAACGGTGGCAGATTCAAACCTGGCCCCAGCCAAACTGCAACAAAAAATTAGCTGGGCGTTGTGGCAGGTGTTGTAGTCCCAGCTACTTGGGAGGCCGAGGCAACAGAAATGTTTAAGCCCAGGAGTTGGAGGTTGCTGTGTTAACTCCACAGCACTCTACCGAGGGTGATAAAGTGAGACTCTTATCTCTAAATAAATAAATAAAAATAAAAAGGTAAAACTAAGAAGAAAAGTGTGAGAAGAGTCACATCTTAAAAGAAAGGTTCCCATTTTTAATGAGATAAATAATTTAATTCCCCTTCTGTGTTTTTTAGTAACATCACATGTATAAAAAGGAGCAAATCACTTAACAAGTTTCTTTTTTTTTTTTTTTTTTTTTT